CACGCCCCCCCAAAAAAAGCAGTGAACAAAAGCCAATATGTAATATATGTATGTAGTCCTTTATGGTGTCCAACATGATCACATAGTTCCCATTTACCAAGACAATCTCATACAGTAAAACACTCAAAACAAGACCCAGATTCCCCTACTTCTATGACACGTTCAGGGCATGCTTGCCCCATCTTGTCCATCAGCTTAGAGAAATCAAATGGGACAAAAATAATGAGAAAACAGTCTAGTGGGAAGGCGCCAAAGACCAACTAACTAATTAATGCAGGGCCTCGTAGATACAAGACAAGATAGATAGGTAGCCTTGCTTCAAAATCCAACAAAGTATGTTCTAAATATAGGGAAATTTCCAAATAATAAATGCTAGGTTTATTCTAGTTGGCAGAGAAATACTAGAAAATAATAAGAGCACAGAAATCACAAGTTTCTCTAACACTGATTTCAAGAGGACAAGAAAAACAGCACCTATAGAGATGAACAAAAAATAACACGTTCGATACTATTGTTTTGGACAGATTTACATGTATATGTAATTATGTAGAAATCCTCAAATCCTTGATTTAAATAGAAATTTTGCAATTACTAAAACTACAGATGATTTCTAATAGGGATCCTAGAAGCACCTAAGAAAAGAACCTGAGCAAAACAGTAGTTGATATAAATTAATAGTTTCCTAAAAAGTTAGAAACTACTAATTATAGACCTTCTAGAAGATAGAAAACTTTCAAAATAAAATAAACGATGGTTTTGAAACATAAAATTAGAAACTACTAATTAACAAAACTGCTGTCAGTTTCCAAATCTGGGTGCAGCCATTTGTTTGTTGATTTATTTATTTATTGATCAGTATAATCAGAAATGACTTGGGTATACACAAAGCTCTACTAGCCACCTGTCTCAAATAATGATCAATACAACTAGGCCCTAAACATTTGTTCCCAATAGAACCATGTTAGCCAAAGCATCTGCCAATAATTTGCTGATCTTTGCACCCATTGAAAGATTACACCTGTTCCCATAGCCAGCCAATTTAACTCAATTGCTTGTCTGTGCTGCCACATCGCCTTGCTATCCTTGGCCAATTAATTACAACTTGGGAGTCTATGCAGCCATTTATTCCCCCTTTCATTTGTTTTAGTGCTTGTCTGGAAGGGCTGAACGCAGCCGCTTCTCACTTCTTGAGGTGAGCCTCACACAGAGAGTCCAAATTTTCCTTGAATAGCTTATCTAAAGTGTTTCAAAGCGGCTAGATCAGCTTAGCTGAATATTCAGCTCAGCATTCCCAAACGAGCCCTTAGTAACTTTGGGATGCTCAAATCTATCTAAAAATTGATTTGTTGTATTTTCTATTGCTATAGCCAATAGGAGGGTGAAATATCACTAACCTTCTATTTCTACCGACCCTTCACTGACTGCTCCATTTGTTTCTCGTAAACATTCTAGCTACCTACTTCATACAAGACATTCAATTGTTGTCTTCAAGACCAATGCCTCACAGGGATCAAATTTCTGTTTGTATCAATATAAGGAATAGTAACACAGTATCGAGTCCAAGCCTGACAACACTGGGTGAAACTGAGGTTTTAACCTAACTACCCCCTTCATTTATTTATTTATTTTTTGATTGTTAACTGTTCGCTTTTATTAATTAGTGATTAGTGATAAAGAATGGATATATTATTGCAAAGAGATTGTGCCAAGAACTTCATTATCCCTATGTAGCTTCTGCTACCTTACCTGTTTGTCCCCATCAGTTTACATACATACTAGATCAGTTTTCCCACTAATCATCCGCCCCCCAAATACAATCTGTCCTGTTACTCCCTAACTGCTCCTTATTCATTTTAACATCATAAATATTCCCCTTAAGTTTCACTAAAAGATCCTTCTATTCAAGATATTAAATTTTCTAATATTCTCTCTCCAGATAGCTTAGTGGATATTGCAGACCCAAAAGCTCTTCTAGATCCAATTGCACAGCAAAATTAACTATAACAAACTTTCTTTCACCTTCAAGTTATGTTTCTTGTGTCACACAAAAGCTCTTCTAAATCCAATTACACGGCCTAATTAACTATCAAGGATCAAAATTTTGCGAAGTATCGACCCCTACATATCGTATTGGCAACCCCCTGATACACCCTTTTTGGATAGGTTTCAGGGTTTGACCTGTTTCAGGGGGTAGACAAACCTTAAACTGACCCCCCTGAACAGGTTTGAAAAACAAATTAAAAGAAGCGCTCCACGATACATACACCCCATCCAGCATATTAACCTGTATCAATATTTTGAACCATGTTAACTATAACAAACCTTCTTTCAATTTCAGTTATCTTTCTTGTCTCAATCCCCCTCCACTTCCCAAGTACTTCTAGGATTACATACATACATATATAAGGCATTTAGGCCTACATTACCAATTCCTTTTTTTACCAACTTAAGGCCTACATTACCTCAAAATCCACTTTAGTATTATTCTTGTGTCCCAGGAAGTAGCATACTTCTACCACCCAATAAATCAAAGGATTTCTCACATCATCCCCTATTATTTTCACGCCAACTAATAGATATATGAAACAAAACTGGAAATAGTTATCACTCAATGACATCTAACTCTTATTGTCTCCTAGGATTAAAAGAAGAAGCGCTCAACAATACAGACCGATACACCCCATCCAGCATATTAACCTGACTTCTACCACCCAATAAATAAAAGGACTTCTCACATCATCCCCTATTATTTTCATGCCAACTAATAGATATATGAAGCAAAACTGGAAATAGTTATCACTCAATCACTCAGTTATCTTTCTTGTCTCAATCCCCCTCCACTTCCCAAGTACTTCTAGGATTGCATACATACATATATATAATGCCTACATTACCAATTCCTTTTTTACCAACTTAAGGCCTACATTACCTTAAAATCCACTTTAGTATTATTCTTGTGTCTCAGGAAGTAGCATACTTCTACCACCCAATAAATAAAAGGATTTCTCACATCATCCCCTATTATTTTCATGCCAACTAATAGATATATGAAACAAAACTGGAAATAGTTATCACTCAATGACATCTAACTCTTACTGTCTCCTATTTAGGAAAAATGTGAATAAACTTGGCTATAGCAATGAAGAAGGGACCTAGACTAACAATTGAAGACATGGGCTCTAAACAACAATACACAATGACAAGTCATGATATGTGTATGATTTCATCATGAGAAAAAAACCATTGTATTTTGCTAATAATGAAAAGCAAACAACCTGTCACCACACTAGTATTATTCCCGGGCCTAGAAAGTAATAAAGTTTTACCCAGTGTTAAAGTGAAAGGTACAAAAAAAGTGCAAGGGGCTTTTTGCATCCAAAGCACAAAGCACAAGGTAAGCGTGTGCGCCTTCTTAAAGCAAAGCACAAAATTTAAAAAAATAAAAAAATAAATTGCAAAAAAAGCAAAAAAAAATAATATATTAATTAAAAAATGCATACTTAGATTTTAAACTAAATGTTTTAAAAGCCTATTAGCTCAAATTGAAATGCATAAACATAACACATAAAGCATATGCACCTTCAAAAAAAACACATAAAGCATATGCAAAGTGAAAATGTAAAAATAAAATTAAACATAACATATAATTTAAGCATGCAAAATTTATTTCTTTCCCAATAGCATTATTCTAATTCTACAAGCTACCATTTATTGAGCCCCTTGAGGCAAGCCCAAATAAGTCCATGCTAGGGTTTTATTCTTTATCCCTACTTTAAAAAAAAAATGGTTTTATAATTTAATTTTAGTTCCTTATCTGTAAAAAAAATGACTTTTATTAGGAAGGATGAAATAAAGAATACATTAGCAACAACGGAGTTCTCAAAACATAAGCAAGCAAGCGGGAGTGGAGTAGAACCCCTTTTTTGCTAATACAAGACATTTTTAAAAGATAAGGAACTAAAATGAAATTATAAAACCAATTGTTTATGTAGGAATTAAAAATTTAAGACCTTAGCATGAACTTATTTGAGTTTGCCTCAAGTTTTTTTCTTTTTTTTTTCTTTTCTTTTTTTTTTTTATCAATGCCTCAAGGGGTTCAGTCAGCCACAAGGGCTGAGGTGCAAGGTGCACCAGGTGTGCACCTTTCTAAAATGGCTGCCTGGGCCTAGGCGATGCAAGACTTGAAATGCACCTCTCTTCAATCACTGGTTTTACCACCCAATAAATAAAAGGAGTTCTTACATAACCCTTATTATTCTCGTGCCAGGTTGCATGAATGAAGAAAAACTGGAAATAGTTGTTACTCGATGATATCTAACTCTTATTGGCTCCTGTAGGAAAAAAAAAGGCCAATAAATTTCACTACTGCAATCAATAAGGCACCTAGACTTCAACGGTTATAAAGATTTGACCTCTGAATAACAATGCATAATAGCAAGTCATGATGTGTCATTTTCATCATGAACAACAATCATTGCATTTGCAAATAATGGAAGGCAAACAACCAATACCCAGAAATGTGGACATGTAATCAAGCTGACACCAATATCTCAAACTGATAGATCACAGCACCAATAATACCTTTCTAACTTTTATCAGTTTCTTTTCCAACTCAGCCTTGGCACGTGACTGTCTTCGCCTCAGGATTCCATGGTACTGCTTAGCATTCACATAAACAGGCTCCTCTGCCATTTCAAGAGGCAAAGGCATCCTAGGGTGGTGCATCCCAAGTAAATGAGGATGTGCCTGTCACAATTTCCAAAGTAATCAGGGAGAAAAGTTCATGTCTTCAACCAAATTTCTGGAGAAAAAAATTCCTAGTAGCCTTCAGTAGTATAGTGTAGAAGATATCCCTTTCATAAATACTCAAGCCCTCAAGGGGCACTATAATTCATTCAAATTAGGTTTTTAATGTAAAAAATTAAACAAGAAAGAAAAATGCTATATTAAGTACAAAAAAGCAGGATAATCTAATAGAATGGTAAAAATACATTTCACCAAAACAGACAACCTATGGATATATTTCTGCCCTTTGAGCCTCGTATTTACCAGCTCAACAACCACGCCAGCCTCTCCAGGTACCAAGAAAATAAGATCTTCAAAGAGGACACTAGAGCATAGTTTCTGCTTTACAATTTACAGCCTCCTTATTCCTTCCTTTCTCGATTCCCATTTTCCAAGATCATAATATTTCTAGAAGCACTCATTACACCAACTTCCCCAAGAGTAGATCATTGGCATATTTTAATCCATGGATAAGAATAAGTGTCTCTGCCTTGTCAGAGTCAAAATAATTAATGTGGCACAGAATATAACTCCCCCTCTAGGATTGGAAAGGAGCTGACTAATGACAAATTCACCAGATTTCAGCAAAAGACTTTCATCAAACTTAAGCTCCACCTTATCCTCTTTAAATACAAAGCAATGACTGTTCTATTAGAAAAAAGGAAAGATCATGCTATCAATAGCCAAACCGTCAAGATGTCAATATCTCAATCATATTGCTTCATTGCAACCTGGGTGACTAGGGTTCAGATCTTGGAAACAGCCTCTCTGTATCTGCAGGGGTAAGGCTGCGCATATCTGTCCCTCTCCAGACCCTACATCTAAAGGAGCCTTGTACACTGGCTACCCTTTTCTATGCAGCAGTTGTGGTAAGATATAGTGGTCTTGAATATTTATTTTGCCAAAAGATGTTGATTTTCTTATCACATGGTTGATAGTTCCTGCCAACTACGTTCAAAAGGCTCCATCCTCATGAGGAAAATAAAAGCAAAAAAAAAAAAAACAAACAGACAAACAAGCAAGCATAAAGAGGGACCTCTTATTGATAACTCAAATAGCAGGTTAAATTTGAGTAAAATTTTAGAATAACAGAATCTTATTCAGATTTTTTTCATCAGCAACAAAACACAAGGTTTATTCAGAAATATCGGAGTCAACAATAACAGAACCCAATACATGAAAGCAGATTTTATTCAGGTTTTACTTTTTGGTTGGAAGGGATAAAAGGGGTGGCTCCACATAACAATGACACAAATACCAAATCATAACCAACTAAGGTAGCCATTCATAAAGGAACAGTAACTTTTGAATATATGTGAAAATTTTACTGGTCACATACCAGAGCCTGAGTTCCATAAGCAGCCATCATTCCCCCATAGTATGGATCAGAATATGGATACGGTGCACAAGCCTGTAAAGAGTCAAAACAAAATTGCAATATGTTTGTTATTCTTTTATACTTTAAAGTATGCTAGGTGCCGAGTCCATAACAATATAGATAAAAAATGATTTATAAACAACTGCAGTAACTATGTGCACTAAGAAATATGAACAAGAAGTAATAAGTGAGTCCATAAAAGGAAAAAAATAAAAAAAAAACTTACAATTGAGTGGCCAACAAGTTCCAGCTGGGTAGTTGGTACAAGGGGTTCACTTGTCGTATGAGGTACTGTAGTTGAACCATGCTGCATATGTGGACTCTCTTGTCCACAATTTCCATTAGAGCCTGAATGAAAAATCATCATTAGTGCCATATAATATAATTATAACCACTCTACTGGACAGAACACATTCAAATGATACCAAGCAGTTGAGAGAACATAAAGCTTATTAACTGAACCTTGTTAAAATTTAATTTCACAGGCCAATAGGCCTATAAGTCTTATACCAAAACACTGATATAGGAATCTCTATATGTCCATTATTCCCCCCTTGCATATAAAGTAGAGCATGTATTTTTTATGAGTTTTATCATTTTCCTTTGATCAGTAACAAAATTGTGTCTTCTGGACATGTTTTTTATGTTAACATTTTTTTGAAGCACTTTTCTATATTCTGAGATAAAATTTAAAACTTTAATTACTTGATCTTTAATGGAATTGTATAAACATAAAGTTAAGCAGCAGGCCTCATTTTCCCCTAGATGTATTTTTGCTCAAAGTGCAGTATCTACCAAAACCAAGAGTTCGTCAACATCTTTTGCACAATAGCATTTTCTCATGGGAAATGCATTAAATAACATAAAGATGCTTTCTCCATAGATTGTTGCTCAGATCCATTTTACTTTGATACATTTTCTGTGGAGAGAAAGAAATCCTAAAGTTACACACCATTTGGCTTAATGGTTGTAAAATATGTTAAAATGGTTCTGAGCCTTTCCTTTTCTTTGACATGATTTTGTAGGAAACTTAACAACTAGAAAATAAGCAGACAAGCAACACTTCATCAACATGCTTTCCAGATATTACTTACTTATATATGATTGAACATCTAAACAAGGGGTGGGAAGAGATCAACTATTATGGGCACAATTGTAAAAATAAGAAAGAGTTCTTGAGGAAGAGATAGGAGGGTTTATCTCTCACTGTTTGTATACATTTGTTGTATTCACTAGTTACTCTCTTCTATTAATGAAATTTCACAGTTATTGATAAAAAACATAATTGAACATCTAAAAAGACCACATCAATTTTTTTCAAATCCATGTTAACCCCAATATTCAATAATGAAGGGAAGATATGGTCACAAAAAATGAAGTGAGTGTTACTAAGATAGGAGGAAATGGTGTAAATGGCAAGAAATGTGTCAGAGGAGATGCCTGGTTTGAGGCAGGGAAATTCACTGTCCCTATACCCATTCATGGGCAGTTTTTTTTAGTTCAAGAGGTTTGAGGCAGGGGGACCCACTGCCCCATGCCTATTCATATTTCATATATGCTGCCAACACTCTAAAAAGCTGCTTCTGGGGCAGCAGAAGGTGACCTTTTGGAGGGTTTTCAAAGTGAAAGGACTGAGAAATTTTCTTTTTTGCAATTTGTGGGTGATATGCTTTTTCTGTGGGACATCTCAAGGGAAAATAATACATATAAAACGTATCTTAACATGGTTTAAAGTGGTGCTGGGCCTATGCATTAACCTAAACAAGAGCAGGATGGTGGTGATGGGTGCTATACACGGAGTGGAAACTCTTGTAGACTTATTGGGTAAACTGCTGGCTTCCTCTAGGGTAACGGTGCATCTCCAAGGCTATGTGATGTGGGATACAATACTAAAAAAAAGGTTTTATCAGAAATTGGATTTTGGAAGCTGAGATACTTTTATAAGGAATTGCATCTCCCAATTCCAACTCAAGTGGCATCTCAGTTAGAAAGGAAGATAAGAGATTTTCCGTGGAGAGGGTAGAGGGAGGAAGATAGATTTCATTTAGTTAATTGGAGCAGGGTGTGTTTTCCCAAGAAATCGGGTGGACTGAGTTTGAGAAAACTGAGATTGTTTAATGAAGCCCTATTAGAGAAATGGCACTGGCATTTCAATGAACAACCTGATAGTCTGTGAAGGAGGTCCAATAGTACCCAAATATGGATCAAGGAATATGGAGTGGGACCTGGGTCTTTCCAGGTAATCTCATATGGCTGTTGTCTATGGAAAGGGGTGGAGAAGAGCTATGGCCAATTTGCAACAGGTATAAGACACAATGTAGGTAATGGGCAGCGAGTCAGATTTTGGAGGAATGCATAGGCTTTACTTTGGGCAGCTAGGAACAGAAATTCATTAGCGACTGAATGTTTTCAGGTGTCCAATGGTCAAGAGGTTTGGAATCCCGTTCTTAGAAGTAATCTTAATGATTTAGAGGTAGATCAAATGGTAGAGTTGCACACTTTGCTTCAAAGAGTTGATATTGATGTGAATCAGGTAGATAAAAGGGTATGGAAATTTGACTCTTCAGGTGCCTTTTCAGTTAAGTCTTTTTACAATCATGGAACCATCTGCTGGGTCCACCCTCCTCTCTATTTCCTTGTTCAATGGTATGGCTTCCTCATATCCCATCAAAGTTGGCCTGCTGTGTTAGGGGACAGTTTGGTCAGGAGAGGAATATCACTGGATTCAGTAACCTGTGTTTTTTGTCAGCAATGCATGGAAACAGCTGACTACTTGCTCCTGCATTGCCATCTGTCATATGCTCTATGAGCCAGATTTCTGATATCCTTCAGGGTAATGGTTTGTTTCCAAGCATCAGTATCAGATCTTCTTTGGATCTGGAATCAGGCTCGTTTAAACAGGAGGGATAGGATCATATGTGACTCCATACCAGCTGTGATCATATGGAACATCTGGAAGAAGAGAAATGATCAAATTTTCAATCAAGTGCAGGCATCACAGGGAGAGAATAATCAACAAAATCTGTGGTTCAACATACTGTTGACTGTCTGTTCATCCAATCTTTAGGATATGTTTGGTTTGAAGGAAAATGCATGGAAATGAAGGGAAAGGTAGGAAAACCTTTACAAACCTTGTATAAATTTCCCAGTCCTTCCTTTCCTTTCCCTACCTTTTCCTTCAAACCAAACATAGGCTAAGGGAGTCTTTACAAGCCTTTTGGACCATAGCAGTCTTTTTTGGTAAAGATTATGTATGGTTGTACGGTCTCAGGGTATAGAATTATGTGTTCAGGGGGCTATAGTGCTATACGTTGTAGTATTTTTTGTTTTCTTACAGTCAATGAAAATTTTTCTTACCTTTTTCAACAAAAAAGGAAAAAGGAGATGCCTGGTTTGGAAATCCTGTTTAATCATTACTAAGAAACCTACACACAGATGACTGTTTAAACTCATAATATTAAGAGTTTGTGGAATGACAAAACAGGATTCATCTAGCCAACCCCATATAGTTGGGACAAGGCTATGTTGAGTTGAGTGTGGATATGAAATAATTTTCAGTGACAGTGGCCACAGTTGAATATTTTAACAAAAGTTTGTAAACTTTATTCCGCAAACCCTGAGAAATTTAAAAAAACAAAAAAAAAGAAATATGCCTAATATTATTTCTCAATAAATGTGCAGCATTTTACATATATAAGTGCTTAACAAGTAAAAACCTTATAAGATGGAGTCATGGAGCCTTTTCTGTCAAAAAGGATATTTTTTATGAGGACTCTTATGAAGCTAGAAAAAAGGGTCGTCTGATCCAAAGGAAGATAAATGTACTTTCCTCTAAGAAATTATAATTGTAGAAAGCATGAGACAGCATGAATAACAGAATTGAGGAATTACCTAACTGTGGTGCAGCACTTGTCTGAGTTTCTTTACTAACATCAGTTCCGTTTTCTGGGCCACCATTTTCTTGCGCTTGCCCAGCTTTTGTTCCCCCACCACCACTTGGAGGCTCCAATGGAGGTAATTTTGATGCACTCTCTCCTACGACAGGAGAAACAGTTTTATACCCAATTGGACGCCACCATGGTTGAGCACTTACTGTCGATGGAGAAACAGTTTGTGCACTGGGCTCTAACTGACTCCCATTATCGGATTTTGAGTGCATGCTTTCCTAGTCCAGAATTTCTTCAGAAAACCTTCAATTTTCTACAAAGAAACAGCATAAATTTAGTCAGACAATAGAGAACAAGGATAAGCAAAAACCAAAGAAACAACAAAAAACAAGAAAGATTTTAATTAAACCACAGTGAAGAGAACAATTTCTAAATTCTAACCTAAGGAACGGCAATAATCCATGCAAGGCATAGAAAAGAAGCAAGCAAGGAAAGATGAGAAAGGAGTAAAAAATGTAACATAGACAGCAAGTCTTTTCAGATAAGCCCTGCTCTGCTCTCCGAGACTCCGACAAAACAAAAAGACTCATCTTTCCCAATTAAAGCAACAAGTCATAGCCGAAACTTAGAAATTCGAGTAGTACAGCAGAGTAAAAGTCAAACTATGATAAATAAGCTGTAGACAAAACCCACGAAAACTCGAACGAATTTATAAATCCAACACAGCGAAGAAAAGGATGAAAAAAAAGGATGTAACAGCAAAGGAGAATTCGTACTTGAACACAGCAAAAACCTCAAAGTTAAAAAAAATCCATTAACCATAAACCTAAAATCTGCTCAAAAATCAAATGCAACTTCTTAAACTCGAAAAAGATCATCAAAACCCTAATTCTCAAAAATATCACAAGGAATAAGAAAGTAAGCAAATTGCCAAACAAAAACCATCTTTTCACTCTCCGTGCTGATCAAACTCAAAACCCAATCAAACAAAAAAAAAAGCAAAAAAAAAGGACAGCAATTCACGAACTAAGCATCAAAAGAAAATTTTCCCAACACAGATGACCAAGGAACCAAAATCAAATTCAAACTCCCCATCCACCCACAACGAAACAAGAAGAAGAAGAAGAAGAAGAAGAAAAACAAAATCACCAGGAACCCTAACGTCCACGACCCAGCGAATTGTCAAAACTAAGTAGCAAACAAGCTAAAACCCCACGAAATCAAAACCATGAAATCTGATGAGCAGAAAACTCACCAATTCAGAAAAGTACTCGAAGTAATCCTACACTTCCCCGTTACAGAATTCAAAGACATCGATATAAATCCATTCCTCTCCGATTCTCAACGAGAAACTGAAACCGTAGCGAAGTGCGAATAATAACAGTACCAATTGGTGGAACAATATAAAGGATTGAAATAAATATAAATAATAGTTTTTTACAGCCACGAAAGCGTCGCTCTCTCTGTCTGTTAAAATAAAAATAATTTTCGCCAGACCTCCAAACAAGCCTCCCAAAACATTAAAAAAGACGATTAAATAGACCACCCGCAAAAGACAGCAACCTCAGCTCTTTTTAAACAACAAAACTGTATTTATCTCAACATCCCCTCGCTTTTCGATTATGACGAGTTTGTCCCTTGGAAACCAAATTCCGATTATAAATTTTTAAAGTTTTTTAAAATAAATAAATAAAAAGAAATCTTTTACTGGACGGGTCGTTTAGCCGGAAGAGACCTTAACAAGGTGGGTATCTTCCACGAGTCAACATGGTCGGGGGTCTGAAGACACCCTACGTGTTGCCTTGCCTTCCCACTGTCTGTCAAGATGCAAGTAACAGCCCTAAGGCTGTGTTTGGTTTGATGGAAGATAACAGAGTTTTTCTAAGCACTAAAAAATCCTTTTTGTCACACTGTATGTCTGTTTTTCTGTTATTTTTTATCAACCCAAACACGGCCTAAAATCTATTGTGTCACATTGTATGTCTGTTTAATGTTTTGCTGAAGTGGCTGAACTGACTGACTTATTACTTTTTTGTCTTTTAGTGAATTAAAAATTGTTTGTAATTAAAATATTTAGGGATGTGATAATCAACCCATCATGCCTGCCACTCAACCATTAATGAACTCACAGCCCACTTAATAACCTATTCACTAAAAGACAATTTAAGAAGTCGCCTAGTTCAACCACTTCAGTTGTTATCAAATAGACCTTAATCTGTTCACTTCACATGATAGAAAATGAAGTGATTTTGGGAAATATGGGAATGAATAGAGGTCAATATCTAGGGTTTGTGGCTTTGCTTAGTTGCAAATAAATGATTTACAATTTAAGCAATGTATAGAAAATTGATTTGTTGTATGATTTGTATCTTAACAATTAATGCACATTTATACCCTTGAATTGAGCAAAGCTACACTCATACAAGATGCATTTTTACAAGGGGCACCAAGAAACTGTATCATTAGCAATTTTCTTAGTTTTTGTAGAAGAATAGTCTTGATTGGTAGGTGTGGGTTTCAATTTAGTCATTACTACTATTCCATCCCCAAAATTATTTTATTATTTCACAAATATGAAAAAAAAAACCTGTATCTTGCAAATTATATTTGGTTGTAGAAATGAACGCAAACAACAAAAGTCCATATATTCATCAAATGGGCTCTTGCCAATTCCGATTCCTCCCTAATCCAAACACAGTATTAGGGTTTTTATTTTGCCAAAAAATCCCAACTTGTTCCAAAAATGTACTATAACACTATTAATTAGAATTATTCCCCCTTTCATTAAGATTGGAATGCATCCTACTTATCACCTTACCCATTTTAAATTTATTATAAAGCAAAAGAAACTATTTATCCTTAGCATTTAATAAGTTACGTTTGAGAAAAAAGCTTCAAATTTTGGGGAAACAGGTTCCCCAATTGTATGATATTTGGGTTTATTTTCATCTTACAAATTTGTAAAATGAATATCAAACTTATAATCATGTTGTAAGATGATCAATGACCAAATTAATCGCTTGGATGTGACTCAAATGAATCCTGTGTACTGAGCTTGTAAACATGGAACATGTGCAAGCTATAGAGACTTGAGGACTGTTTAACAAGTATTTTGTACCTGCAAATCAAGCTGTTGCTTTTGTACTTTATGATAAATTGTTGCTTATTGTTGAAATTGTCAAATGAGGTATCTGATATTTTAATTAGAGTTGGAAAGACTTCTGGATGTTTCTTGCTTTCTTGGAATATATTAAAAGATAAACCAAGAGGCAACAAGGTATAAGTAAGTCCTTGTGAAATGGGCAAGGATATGAAGACAAATGTTACATAACAGCCAACCAAACATAAATTAAAGAATGCTTAATAACTTCTTTTGCAGGCAATTAAAAAGAGAATTAAGTCATCACACCAAACTATATCAACTAAAATTTAGGTCCTCAGCACGCTAAGCCACAGAATGGGCAGCATAGTCTATTAATATGAAGAAAAGCAAACAACTTTTGTTAGAATTTCACCCTACTAAACAAGGTTTTAAAAGGTTTAAAAGGCGGAGACGAGGCAATTGGGTGCTAAAGAGGCGACGCGTAATCCTTGAGATGGTTTAAGGCATAAGTCTTAAATTAAAAATTTAAAAATTATCAAAAAGTAAATAGTTGAAGTTTTATATAATTATTTATCACTTAATGTGTCAATGGTTCAATAATTGCTGACTGTTCAAATCTTTTTGAAAGTTTTAAACAAATCCTGAAATGAATTAGACTCATTTCCATGGCTGTCATGACAAAACTTCATTGACGGTTGTGACAAGAGTTGTTCATGAAAGATGACAAAATGGATCGAAAATGAAACTAAAAGAAACTAGCACGCCAACACCTCCAAGTCTTTGACCTCCCACAAATATGCCGCCCCACCTAGCTGATAGTTTGAGACAAAAAAAAAAAAAAAAGAAAAAAGTGAAAAGGAAGAGGAGGAAAACCTGTACGCAAGATTGAAGAAGAAGAAGAAGAAAAGGGAGGAGGAGGAGGAGGACTTGTATGCACTCGTACAATTTGATTTCGTCCAATATTCTTATCTTCTTGAATCTTGAATTCGGCCTGAGAAGTATAATATAGAAGATAGAACAGAGAATAGTAGAAGAGAAATGAGTTTGGTCTTCTTGAGTTCGATTGAAAAACAAAAACAAAGAAATTAGATTTTGGTCCTGGAAACCTTACATTTTGGGGTTTTTATTTTATTTTTTACTTTTTTCCAAAATTGTCCATACTAAAATCCAATTTTCCCCACCCAAAACCCCTTTAGCTTAAGGCTACCACCTCATGTAAATTGAGGTGAAAGGCCAAAGTTCTACGCCTCACTAAAACTGAGGCTTATGCCCCTTGCTCCGAGACTGAGGCTACTAAGGCCAGGCGAAATTTGGCTGCCTCACCTTGAGACGTACACCTCTCGCCTCACCTCAGTTGCCTTTTAAAACCATGCTCCTGAAGATCTTTCAGTTCCACCTCCAAGGAGCTAGTGAAAACTGAGGTGATCCCTTTTTGGGTTGCTTAAAATGATGAACTAGAGTTAGAATTAACAATACAACCATAAGACCTAAATTGATCATCAATGCTACCTCTATCACAGTTGATTTTAACACAATCAAAATGGGGCAATTACAGCCCAAAAAAACACTAGGTTGGCCTTCAAAAGCAATTAAAATTGTTTTCTATCCGACTAATGTAGCTTTGTTGTATGTACAATATTTAGAGGATTGGGACTCAGCTACTTTAATGGAACCCACCATGGATGTTAATTGGAATGAATTCAATTTGAAACATGATTGCAGACTTTGTTTGCTTGTGGTTTTTTATATCTATCACAACTTTGCTTCCTTTCACATTTGGACATGGAAAACAAGTTTTAAAAAACCTTAAAGAATAATGCATAGATTCAGGTTGCGTTTGGATAAGATTCAGGATTTATATTTTTAAAGCCCAAAAAGCACAGATGAGCCTATATTTTCAAATTATGATGTTTCTAAAAGCAATTTTTACTGAATTCTCAAAACACTTTGCATAAAGTATGGGTCTTGTCTTCTCAGTGAACTTCACATATAGATCTTGCCAGAAGATGCAAATGCACCCTGTACATGAAATTGAAAACCACCATCCTTCTTCAAAATGTATGCACGTAAAACAAATAAAAGGAATCTGAAAACAATATATCCATTGGTTCCATGGGGCAATACATACAATGCCATAGCCCATCCCCCAAACCCATAACCTCTCCAACCCTAGTGAAGGTGGGATTTGATCTCAAGTCTCCGCTACAATCAATGGGAGACCTTACAAACTGAGCGAATTAATTGGCACTTGGACACATATACATTGGGAGAGGTAAGAGATGTCACCGATCCTAAAACATTGGACCATGAAAATTATCTTAGACTATGTTTGGTTTGAAGGAAAAGATAGGGAAAGGAAGGAAAAAGTAGGAAAACATATACAAGGTTTATAAAGGTTTTCCTACTTTTTTTTTCAAACCAAACACAGCCTTAGGGTATATGCCAAATGAATGATCCTACCTCTTCGCCTCTAGCTACTTCTATTCCATACAAACAGTTCTTGCAAATATTTGGATAGTTTGGTGTAAAATATTAATCTATGAGTGTAGCCCTTACATCACCCCCTAAACATGATACCTGACCTAGTTGAAAGGAGAGTGTAGGTGTTTGAGGTTAGACTTTAGAGAGGGTAAATGTCTCATTTAAGAGGTATTGTGAAAGTTGCACATCCTATATGTGTGTAAAATTAGCAGTCGTGTAGTTAGATTGGTGTTGTATTCACTTCATTGAATTTGGCTCAGCTCTCTTGAAATTTTCTAGGGATTTGAACATATTAATATTCAGTTAAAGTTTGGTTCACATTATACATAGGAGGGTATATTTATTGAGGGTGGATGCATGAGCTGTAATTGCAGTGTAGAAACATTATAATTCATTGTGTGTTGAATATTTAAAGGATACCTACCATTGGGTATCTCTTGCCTAACAAAGTGCCTTCACTATAAACTAGAGTGGTTAGATAACTATTGCCTAATTATTTATGAGTTATTTTGTCTTGTCTTTTACAACTTGTGATGGAGATTCGTGTTCTATATTGAAAAGTACATAATAAACAATAAAAAAATTACAACTAAGTTGATTTTTGGGTAAATTCTCTTAGTGGTTTTGGGAACCTATTTAGATCTAACGTTTACATGAGAGAGAGATGCTTCCAAAGAGGCTTACAAATCACAAAAAGACAAAATATGAATTGAGCTATTTTGGGTATATGTTTCCGTGTCCAATAAGTACCCTCTTTTACTTTTTAATTGTTATGACTTGTAAGCCTAAATGGCTAGAACTCCTAATAAGTAATAACCATATTTTATTTAAGTAGTAAATGAATGAAAGAAATGCTATTTTTTTTCAGTTCCCTTCAAAATAACACTACTATGAAGATGCCGGC